TGGAGAGGCAGACACAACTTATCGGTTGCAAAAACTTTGCTCACGCCGCTTGCAATCACGACGCAAGTGGTCCGGTTGTCTGAACAACCACACGAGTTGTTCCAGCTGGCGGGGCCCAAGCCAGTTAATCCATCCGCAGTTCGAAGCCGGTGGGGAAAGGGGTACGTCTGGGGTTGTGCTCGGCGACGGGAAGAAAGATCGATAGGTGATCAGTCTATCGATCGGCAGCCGCAAGTCAGATAACTTCAGAGGCACTCTGCAGCGTGCTCAAAGCTCTTCGACTTGGGCGGAAGTCGCGCGGAATTTTAAACGGCTAGCGAGCCAATTACTAGCCGCCACGTGTGAATAATTTAGCACTGGCCAATAGCGGGGCACAAATTTACATTCGAATAGCAGGAACTCTTTGCACCGTGCATTTCTGTGCTGCAAAGAAGAAATGCATCCTGCAAAGGAAACTGCAAATTGGCGGGAACTCTCTCCTGCACGCGGGTTCTCAATTGCAGCAGAACACTCTGCCGTGCAAAGGAGCTCTCATGTGGCCAGGAAATTCCATAGTGCCAAGGCACCAAAATCACTGGGTCGTGACACACTGGGTCGTGACACAGTGCAGGGGCTGCCTGCCAGCTAGCCTTGCAGTGAATCACCCTCGTGCCCCAGCCAGCCTCTCTGAAGCACGCTGACCCTGGTTGGAGCAATTCTGGGCTGGCTGGCTGACTTACTGGGTCCTCTGCCAGCCAGGGCTGGCTGCTCTGACCTGACTCAATATGTTGTGGCCCAGGTGCATGTATAAATGGTGTGCCCAGGAACTTCCCGGAAGCAATAATTTATTTATTTATTTATTATGATTTAATACTCATAATTTATTGCTGCATATTAATGGCATGTGTAAATGTGCCCAGTTAGGCTAAGTACAGACAGTCAAAAAGCCTGAGGCTGAATCAATTCAGTCTTTGCAGGTTAGTTTAAGCTGCATAGACTGAATCGATAAGCAAGTGAACAGACATTCATTTTTGATTCTGGAAATGCAGCCACATGCCTGTAGTGGCCCAGGCCAGAAGCTGTGGGGCACTAGAGCACATCTTTCTGGTTGGCTGGAGCAGACAGCTTGGGCCAAGGCTAGCCTGCCCACCCTGTGAAGTAGGGTTTGCAGGAGAGGTACAAAGCATCCTGCAATGCTGGTGGACTGTGAGTTAACTTAAATCTGAATGGGATGTGGGACAGAAGTTCAATAAACTGATTTAACCTAAATCAGTTAAGTCTGATACTACATCCATCCAGATTTATCTTAAACTGGTTTCAGCCATTTTGAAAGTGGCTTATGTGCACTGAATTTCTGTTGTGTTAGATTTGAACCAATTTCCAATCCCTTATACCGATTCGTGTGTAATTTCTGTCCCTAGCCTTCAGGTGTAAATGAAGAAAATATTACCCATATTAAACAAAGTTTTTATTATAACAATCTAAATAAAATTGGCATTTACTGAGTTCCATGGTATGTGGGGCCTAACATGTATTTTTGGCTATATAAAATGGACTGTATGTCGGAGGCGGGCAGGTTTTTTTTCATTCCAGGGGTGAAACAATACACATGTCTATAGAACAACTTTTAGTTTGTGAAAGAGTGATTTAAGAACAATGGGGCTTATTCTATCTCCCCAACATGGAGGAAAGGGGGTGGTTTGCTTTAGCAGAATTAAGCAAAAGCATAGAGGGAACTGTTTCTATAAATCAGGCTATGAACCAAGGGCTTTATTCAAAACCCACGAAATTGGTGGGAATATACATCATCTTCAATGAGCTTCAGGACAGACCCTTCCAACTACAGCTAAGTAAAATGATTTGGTACATGGCAATTTCTTTGATAATGTGTAAGAGCCAATAGTACACTCATTACTCAATAATTACATGCTTTTGCAAGCCTATAAAATAAACGGTAGTTTCTCCCTTCCTTTTGTAAGGCAAGTTGTGACATGTGGGATTAATATATTAAATGCCAATATGTTCTTGGAAGCCTCTCCCTTGCTTGACTCAGGGTACATATACATTGCTGAGAATCAGGGTAAATTACCTGCATGTAGCTCCATATCGCCAGGTACATTGCTTCCCATTCCCAAGCTAGCTCACTACAGCAAGCACAGATATCTCTATAGCTCACTGCCAGTTGCAGTGTAACAAATCCCTGAGTCTGTGTTCTCACTAAGGTAGGAGGTTATCCAAAGGAAACTCAGATAAGGACAAAAATGGAATAACCCAATTTACTAAAAAAACAGAAACGGGATAAAGAAGAGTGTTGAATGAAGTCTCCATACAGAATGGAATAACGAGATTTTGTGGCATCACCTAATATTTTGTGAATTAAATATTCTGCAGTCAGATCTGAATGGCTTAGACAGATTTTTAACAGGTCAAGGTGTTTTCATTTCTAGATAACTTGCCTGAGGGTTACAATTTTTACTAAAAAATAAGAAGTCTTTTCGCAGACCTCAGTGTTGCCTGTCACTGAATGGATGTGGAGGCTAACCTATTCTTTTTATTCCCAATGTCCAGGTCTAAGACGAAGTATTTCAGTATAAGGATGGTTTGTATAAGTTTGTACTACTGTCTAAAGCAAAACAGAGAAATGCTTCAGTTATTTCCCAAGGTTAAAATATACTTTACCTGTTATTAAAATTCCATAGATCACATATCGAATTGTGGTTTTATGTTTCTTGCAAAAACCACAGACTTCATCATATTTATGTTCTAAACACCTAGAAGAATAGAAAAAGCAAACAGTACAAAGAAATAAATTCCAAAGCAAAAAGTACAAGGCAAAAATAAGAGTAATTCATACAGGATTAGGGTTTTCAGTTGTAGCCATGTTGGTTTAAGGACATAGGCAGGCAAGGTTCTTTGAGTAGATGCAACAACTTTTATTAGACCAAATGAGTAGTTGGGAAAAAGTTATTTGCAAGCTTTCGGGCACAACACCCTTCTTCAGGCATAGGGATTCTCTGCTTTTCTGAGATCTCTAAGGAATGAAAGAAGCTAAAAGTGTGACAGGAGGTCAGTTAGAATGTAAATAGGTGGAAATTAGGAAACTGTTTTCCTAATTTCCTACCCTTTGTTTGTAGCATGAACTGAACTAATGTAGCTGATGTTAACATAGAGTGTAATAGTAGTGAAATGTAACCATGTTAGTCTTGTCCTGTAAGCAACTTGAAAACTTCATTTTGTATCCTTCTGCTTGACATAAGTGAATGAACTTTGCATAGCCTTTATGTATGAGTGTGTGTAAAAGGGTGAATGGTGAGAGAATGGCATAGAGATGGGAGAAGAAGATTTAACTGTTTATGTAAGCAACAAGGCACCAGATGTGTAAATTACAAGCCAGTAACTAACTAACAAACGGCTGAAGAATCCCTTTGAAGCTCAAGGGCACAAAGAGCAACCGCAAAAACTGAAGCTGGGTATGGAAAAATCTCAAAGCACTGAAACAAAGGATGCCAATCCCTATAAAAAGAACACTTTGAAAATGACAAGTTGGGTGAGTCTCTTTCTCTACTGTTGTTTCATCGGAGCACAGATGCAACTGTTCACCCTGCTCCAGCTGTTATCTTCAAATCTGCTATCTCCAAATCATCATCATCTAGTAAATAAGCCCAGGTTGGCCACCTTGGGCTGATATTGAGCAACTATTGCTGGTAACTATATCTGGTGTGTGCGTGAATGGAATGGTTGTTTTGTATATGTGTATGCCTGTGTGTAATGATGTTTATGATGATTTGTGTGTGTTTGTACAAATGGTGTGTCCGCACCTCTGTCTAACTCATGTGATCAATAAACACGGCACTTTGCCTTATCCCCCTTTATAAAGTCTCGCTCGTGATTTGAGCAATTGGCAATTTGAGTAACATGTTTTCCTAATTTCCATCTATTTACATTCTCACTGACCTCCTGTCACAGTTTTAGCTTCTTTCATCCTTTGGAGATCTGAGAACAGCTGAGACTCCCTGTGCCTGAAGAAGGGTGCTTGTGCCCGAAGGCTTGCAAAGAACTTTTTTCCAACTACTCAGCTAGTCTAATAAAAAATATCATATGGGATTATACATTGCCAACTTCATTAATGTTGATGATTTGACACGCAGAATGAAAATAGATTTGGCAGACATTTAAAAGACTAATGCTTTGAAAGCTGAATGTGCAGACTCAGACACACAAAGTACACTGTATTCAGAATTGCAACTGCACATGGAAAAACAACAATAGAATTTATTATAAACAAGTTAGGCTCTTAACAAAATATTAGCATACCAGTATACCAATACAAAATACCAGGAACTACTAGTGTGTGAACATCTGTAGTAATTGCAGTGCAGTCAGGAGTAGAGTTCATAGCTGTGCAAAGACATGGGCATACAAAAAACCCTCTGAAATATTTTGGAAATGTGGTCCTTTGGAAATTCTGCATGTGCTATATCATGGGCGAATACAGGATTTTGTTAAGAGAGGGGTGGGAGCAGTGATCAGCATTGCAGGGGTGGCTGCATCGCCTGCTCTCAGCTTTCACCACTCGCACCAAGACAGGCAGACCACTCTGGAGAAGCCAGGGACTTTTAAAAAGTAAGAATCTCCCTACCTCCCCCCTTTCCCCTTGTGCTCAGTGGCATGTCTCCTCCTTTGTCTCTCATTCTGTGCCTTCCCAATGGAGACAGTGGGCACAGTGGCAGCAGTGGTAAAGGTTGGGGGGAGAGGAGATGGGAAGGGACGTGCTGCTGAGCACAGAGGGGAAAGGAGGTATGGGAATTCATATCTGATCTGGGGACTTTAAAACAAACAAACAAAAAAAGAGCCCCTGGCTATTGTTCTCGTAGTCTGGTCTGAAAGGGGTGTGTGACTGTGCCACTGCACCCCCTATTCATCCACCCCTGTGCTTTACATTTATTAAAATATTGATGAAGTAGAAGCTAAAGTTATCCATCATATACAAATACTGTAAATTTACTCTCCCTAGGTGTTAAATGACCTGTATTAGATCTCTGTTTAACTCAGTGGTGAGTGCCCTAGGATTTTATAGTCATGTGCTGAGATTTAAGAGACATAACAAACAAAGGGAAGGAAATCAACCCAGATTTTAGGAAATGAGCCAAGCTTTGTGCAAGTGTGGAAAGTTCCTGACAACCTGTAGAGTATAAAGGCAAAGATATATTTAGGGATGATAATTATCCCAGCTGCATCTCATCGGGTAAACAGATGCAGCTGGAGTCAGCTATGCAGTAAAATTCTGCCTGAATAACCTTCTTATGCTGTCGTAAACCATAGTTAAAGGAATAGGAAATGGCACATACCCCTAAAATGTGAGAAATATTTACTTAATTTAAATTAACACTCAAACAGAAGAAGTTTGCTCAACGAGTCAAACAATTACAATGCTTTGATAAACCTTGTTTGTTTTTGATATGTCAGTTTTTGTTACAGGAATTCCTGTTGCTTTTAAACTACAGCTCATTTTTACTTGCTAGGATGTTAAGTTACATATGCAACCTCCTGAAGGAGATTAGATAGAAGAAAAAGGAAGGAAAGGAAAAAGGAAAGAAAAATACATAAATAAGCTATAATGACTTTATCAATTTTTAATTGTTGGTGAATGGAGTACAAATTACTAGCTATTACCTACAGTAATGTATTTTTATAGTGATCTGGTAATGGACAAATCTATTTTACAACTTAGCAATGAACAGTTAAGGCAAAGTATGGCCATAAAGGATTCAGTAGTGTTTCTCAGGTCATTTATGTAGTGGACTACAAGCTACGATCCTGTTATATTACTGGGTATATTTAAGGTATTTCCTATAATTCTGGAAATCAATCTTACTTTTGATTTCAACTCTTTGAGAACTTAACAGTGAAATCCAATCAGGGCCAGATGAATGCATAAGCAAACTGGGCATATGCCTGGGGCCCTACGTGAAGAAGGGGCTCACGTAAAGAGAAGCTCACACTGTCACTACCACCCACTACCTCTCGCTGCTGCTGCTCTGTCCAGCCATGCGCCACCACCCCCCTAGCTCCCCATCCATCCGTGCACCATCTCCCCCCACCCCTCCCCGCTCTGCATCTGGCTGCCAGGAGTACACTTATTAAACAAGGCTGAAAACCTCTGGCATATGAGGTTCTTATTCATTAACTCTCAATGATTCCTTATCAAATCACTTCAGTTTATCAGTAAATATAAACATATACCATCTTCTGAATGTTAACCTTGCAAGCTTTATCTTAAACTTATATATGGGCTTCACAAATTAGTTGGGTCAGGAGGAGATGTGTTGAGTAAGAACTCATCAATTTAACTAGGCACATTTAAAGTAGAGCCCTAAGGTAGCTATATACCTAGCTGCACAAATTATTACTTTGACTTGAATTTAGCAATTCAAAAGCATTCATAAATGTCTGAGTGTATCAATGGATTTTGCTGCTGTTGTAAGGTTTGTGACTTAGGAGCATTAGGATGTTGGCAAATCAAATTATATTATTTGAAAAAATAAGGATACATCTGAATGATCTTTTTGATGATGAGGAAATGGGGAAAACAGGTCAAACCTTGGGTCAGACATCAAGAGCTAGTTCATAAATAACTATCCTGCAGACACACTACTGCTCCCAGTATATGCCAGTGTCTGACAGTCTACTTCAACCCTCTGCACAGCTACATCAAAAGCGAGCTTCAGAGTCATTCAAGTGGAACAAAGTGCTCCTCAAATTACTGTTTAAAAAGAAGCTTAAGTTGTACTGAGTAGTGATATTGTGATGCTGATGGAAGAACAAAAGGACCTGGAGAAGAATGAAACATTGTGGAATAAGCCTTAGCTATTTCTGAATCCTTAGTGGTGTTATAAATAAACCAGAATTAATAACTTCCTATCATGTGGGCTTCATCTTTGCCTTAACCCATCCCTACATGCAGACCTGCCTGTAACAGATTTCTTTTTAAAGTTCAAACTTGAAGGGCTCAGTTATAAAAGTCTATCAAAATAAGTGTACTGTGGTATACAATGTTTACACGTGCAATTTACCATAATGCATACAAGTGGAACACTTGTAACTGCAAATGGTTATTGTGACATTCAAATGTCTGATTTGCACTCACAGTTACAGTAATCTCCACTTCATGTTTATAAGATGGCCCTGAAAATTTAAAACAGGAAATTGTTTCATAAAAATGAGCAATACTGTTATACAAATAACAAATCTTCAAAGAGCAGAGAAGAGACTAGGTAAGAATGGCTCCTGTGACTGATACATGAGAGTAGATCTTTAAGATAATTATTTTACATGCTGCGAGGCATAAATATTAAGACTAGCAGTTGAAGAGAAATCTTTTAATATTATGACTTCTAGCACTGCAGGGATCCTGACTGAATATGGAGCAGTTTATCTAAGTTAAGCATGAGCAATTCTTAATTTTATTTTGTGTGTGTATGTGTGTGTGTGTACATTTATGAACACTTTATAAAACCAAATTCTTCACTTGTGCATGTAAACTGGGCATTTTTACATGTACATGGTCAGTTAGAGTAGCCCAGTTTGACTGAGACTACAGGGTACAGACAGAAGTGCAGCTCCCCGCTGTAACTGAAAACACTTTGCAGGAAGCGTCCCGAGTTACAACGATCCCTCAAACCAAAGAGTAGTGCACTGTTGGTTCCAGGGGGAAGAGGAATCTAGCTGCTGGCTGTCAGCTGACGCTATTTTCAGAAGGAGAGACAGAAAGGGAGCAGAGGGAGCTCATTCTAGGGCAGTGCATCCCCAACGTTTCCTCAGCATGGCCCCATTTATGACCCCATTCCCAACTCACAGCCCCCCACTCCCCAGGTGCCCAACCCACAGCCCTCTGACCCTGCTGGTGCCCTCATTCCCAATCCGCAGCCCCATATTCCCCAGGTGCCCCAGGGCCATGGTGTGCAGCCCCCTGTCCCCCACCTCAGCAGTGCCTGAGTCCCGGCTGCCTCTCACAGGAAGCAGCAGCTGCTGAGGCCAGAGCACAGAGCCCATCTCTCTGCCCTGTCCCTTCCCCCAAGGGTGGCACGGCCAGAGCAGAGCCCATGGTAGGGGTGGAGGATGAGGGCTGCCTGTTGTGGGTTTGGGGCTTCCCACCTGGCTAACCTTCCCCAGGTCTCTGCAGCCCAGTGGGAGGGACCTGGCACAGGAGAGAGCACCGTGCCATGACCCCATCCATTGATGTTGTGACCCCATTTGGTGTCGCGACTCACAGTTTGGGAACCGCTGTTCTAGGGGTTCCCCCAGGCAGTGCTGGAGGGTGGGATGGGTGAATTTGAGTCCCCCCACCTTGGTGGGAGGTGTCTCTAATACACCTGCCCCACCCTCCAGCTGGGGCTGAAAAAACCCCAGACTGAACTCCCTCTGCTCCCTTTCCTCCCTCCCAGTCTTAAAACAGCTTGGAGCCTGGCAGGCAGGGCAGACACAAGTTACAGAAGATGCTCTTTTTTGAAACATCTTCACCTGAAACATTTTGAAACATTTTCATCCGATTGGCCATTTTTTAAGTGATCTGCAGCCATGCACTTGTGTTTGGTCATGGCTAGAGACTGCTTTCTATGGCCAGATTGGGCAAATACTGTAATTTCTGTCTGCACCCTAATTGTTTATATCTGGCTATTTGACAGCTGAAGTGCTCCAACCTACTGAACTGTGGAACAGGAAGGCGGTATTTCAAAACGGAATGGTGAAAAGACACCTTCTCTGTGCTACACAGTAAATCAGCACGAAAATCAGTGGAAAGAGTACAGCAAAGCACAGAAGACTTTAAATATAAAGACTTCTCTCACCTCACCAGGAACATGTTAATTCAGAATTCAGTATCCTATCTCAGCTGAAGGTTCAGCATTTAAAAAAAGTCAAATGTCCTTTTCATATAGTCACTAGCACCTATGACTATATGAGATTTCAGGGGCATCTTATAAATCAGAATGGTTGTGTTTTACACCCACTTTTCTCTCATTTTGTAGTAGCATAAATGAATATTCCAGGTGCAGGGCAACAACTCCTTATAGAAGCCTGTCATAAGTACTTCTTTATGATAGAGATACTGTGAGATCAAATAGGCAACTGAAAATCTAGTTAGAGTAATAATAAAAAGAAAAGGTTTCTCTAATTTGCAAGGTTTCCTCATTACGTTCACAAGCACAGTTCCCTGATCATACACGTCAGCTGCAAGGTATAATAATTTTAAATGCAACATATTTTTGCAATACACAAATTACTAGGAGATCTGTGGAACTGTTTAACTTAGTGAGATGGCAGCAGAATTTTGGGCTGTCACGCAGTAGGCTGAAACCCTGGCAACTTTTTGCTCAGAGTGGGTGGAAAACTTGCTCATCCAAAAGAAATTACCCTTTTAAGCGTGGCTTCTCATCTTCGATTGAGTCACTTTTGTTTCTATGCTGATCATTCTCAATATCGATGTATGCGTCCTCCTGGAAAACAGATGTATAAAAACAGAAAATTTATTTGGAGTCATGTTCCAAAGAGAAAATCTTCTTAAAGACAGATGGTTGCACAAAGCAGAAATTGCGTTTAATGGGTAGCTGAATCAAAACCAGCATGTGGTCTCAATGGGAACTCTCAAGAGCAACATCTCATTCCATGTACCCTGTTCAAGTCTCTCTCTCTCCCTTTCACTTTGCATATACAGCTCCTGCTCTGCTGTCTGGTACTAACACTGTTATTAACATCAGGCAAACCCAGTAGTTATATTGCGTAGCTGTCAAGGGATAAGCATTTTGAATTATGAACCTTCCCAAAGTCCACCACATTAAGAAAAATAGGAGGTAAAGAAAAGTTTTAGTCTGTCCCCCTCCGCGTCATTAGAAACTGAAAAAAGTCAAATGCAAAATCATCTTGCATAGATGATTAAAAGTGAATATTATAGGCATGGCAGATAGCACTGCCTATTGTTAAGACTGCCTGACACTTCTCACTATAAAACCTCATTTTTACTTGGTTCATAACTTTGCCGAACTTTAAGTAATTAGGCTGAGATTTTCCATTTGGTGCATGCCCGAGACTGGTTTTTATTGGAAATTTCAGCCAAGCAGTTAAGCCGGAAGACAATCTTAGGGAAAATAGGTTGTTTTGTTCTTGCTAAAAAATTCTGGTGACTGTTTCTTTGAAAAGCTCAAGTCTTTCTGTTTTGGACCAGGGACTTGAAATTTGGCAGGAAAATGGCTTTTATGTCAGGAATGCACCTTGTGCCAACTCTTTAGTAATCTACCCCAAACCTTTGACAATTTGCACTTCACATATGCTCAGTAGAGACTTCTAAGATTTTAGCTGCTATACTGCCTGAGGATTCAATCTTACCGAGCATACTCGCTCGTCCCATAATTTTTATACTGATCAAACCCACAGAAAGAGAGACTACATACTCCATTTGCTCATAGCACCTACATGTAAGCAGATGGTGCATGGAACATCTCCACGGGCACTTGTACATGTGATGGGGGTTTAGTCCTTGCGGCTGTATTATGCCCCCTAAATTGAAATGGTGGGTTTTTAATTGAAACCCACCATTTCAATTTAGGGGTTTCTATCACTGTGAGGGGCCTGATCCTTTTTAAATTATTTTTTCAGTGGAGCCTGCCTGTGGCTGTGGGGTGAGCTGCTGGCAGGCCAAGCAGCCCCTGAGCTGCAGGGGGCACCAATTCTTCCCTCTGGCAGTGGTGTGCCCCGGGGCTGCCCGGGTGGGCTGCTAGTGTGTGGGGTGTTTCCCCAGCTCGGAGGCAGCACTTGGCCCTATCCAACTCTTCTCTGATCCTGAGCTGGGGCAGCACCCAGCCTGCTAGCATGGGTGGCCCCAGGGGGCACTGCCACCACAGAGGGAAGGACTAGGGCCCCGCAGCTCAGAGGCTGCTTGGCCCACCAGCATCTCACCCCCCAGCTGTGGGAGATGTGGGCAGGCTCTGCTAGAAAGAAAAAAAAAAAGGATTGGGCCCCTCACCACTTCTGCCTTCAGCAGATGCCTGCTGAAGGCAGAAGCAGTGAGGGATTCATCCTTTTTTTCTGCAGAACCTACCCATCCCTTCTGCAGCCAGGAGGTAAGCAAATAGCTGCAATGCACTGTTGCAAACTAAACTACATCAGGATGAAGTTTAATTTGCAATGATGCAAACTCATTGAAAACCCCCAAAACTCCTGCCCGTGTACAGTGTGATACCATTAAGCCACACGAAGTGTTATTTTCAGCACATGTACATGGTAATGGCATCACATGTACAAGTGCCCCACAGAGTGATGGTAGGGATGCTTCACCTTAGAGCTCTGGATTCAGCAGCAGGACCTTCCCTGTAATGGATGCTATCAACTTCTGGAACATACACCCCTTCTGCCCTTTGCTTTTCTGAGGGACCCTCCTTCTGGTGCCCAGGCAGCATGGATGAGAGAGTCAACTGATTTGAACGCAGGACAGACAAAAGCTGAAGCAGAAGGAAGAGACTGGTACAAGGAGTTGGGTGACATTGGAAATGAAAGTATGTTGACAAACTTTGAGTGTGAGCTGGAAAGGGAATGCTGGAATGACTAAACAAGTGACCTTGTGAGCCAAGCAGGAAGGAAGTCAAGTAGACTAAGGCAGGAAGTTGCTAAAGGAAGCATGAGGGAGGGATGGAGAAACTGGAGCCAGTTTGCTCTGGGAGAAAGGCTAGTACCAGATGAAAAGCAGTGGTAGGGGAGTGGGGGAATAAGGGAGATACTCTTACTGGATGAGCAAAGCAATTGGGGCATAGGAAGCAAAGGAAGGAGAGATGGAGCTGGTGTACAGGGGAAACTGGGAGGCAGGGGTGAGAGAGAGAGAGAGAGAGACAGGCAGAGAAAGGCTGACAAACAAACTTGGGAGAGACAAGAATGGAATTAAATGAAGAGCTCAGGAAAGTTAGACTGGGACTGAGAGCCAGTGGGAGGGGGGCTAGGAGAGAGAAAGACTGCACAAAGTACTAGCTAGGAGGTGGAAACTGAAGTTGGATAAGCAAGGAAGGGAGATTAGCAGGGGTTTTTGGGGCAGATTAGTACTCAGACAGCAAGCCCAAAGAAGGAAACTACTACTGGCTAGACAAGGAGACTGGGGTAGTCAGGCAAACCCAGAAGTTACATCATATAACTATCGAGGGATCAGATTTTGATCCCCTTTCCAGACACCACTAAATTAAAAAAAAGGGAGATAAAGAAATAGTTTCAGTCTCTTCCCTCAGTGTCATTCAGTTTAAGATAGATCACAAGATTCAAATCCTGTTGCTGACCAAATGAGGTCAGGATGATGCCACAAAATAAGATTTCTGGCATTTTTCAGAATTTTTTTAACATAGGAAACCACATACTAGGTTACAGTCAGGATATTCCAGAATAAAGTTTGCCTATGCACTCCTAATTTGTCCTTCTCATGTCTATGCATCACAATATAATCTTTGAGTCATCATATAGTATTTTTCTACTGGATTTCTCTCTCATTTTGTTCACAAAATCAATGTGTTCTGGGCACAAATTAGGACTGTGAAATAAGGGAAGCTACTGTCTGCATGACTCCGGTCTCATTTGTTGCAGAAACAGGAGAGTGTGCAGTGAATGCAGCAGGCGATTACGGGAAGAGAAAGGACAGTCCCATGGCTAAGACAGAATGGCTTTCTAGAGAAGTGGATTCTACATCTGCTTCCATCACAATTCCTGTGTGATTTGGTTAAATCATAGGTAGTCACTAATTCTCACTTTCTGAATGCCTGATAGGGCTGTGCGAAGCTTCGGTCGCCAATTCAATGTGGGGGAGATTCGGCCTGATTCGGCAGCCGAATCTCTGAATCCAAATCAAATTGGGAGACCCATTAAAAAGTCCAAATCAAATCTGAAGGCTCCAAATCAATTTGGAAAAGATTCAGAGAGATTCAGATCGGCTGGAGAAAGGCAGGCACAAATGGGCAGCTGCAGGTTCTCCCATGGCT